TTTTTTATTTTTAGTAATAATTTGATTAAAATTAAAAAAATTAAAAAAATTATTTATAGTCATAAATTTATTTTATATTATAAGTTTCAAATTTTTATTTTTTTTAATTCATCTAAGGATCTTCACATAATTGAGACAAAGAGAATATTAAAAAAATATTTCCCAAGCTTTATTAATAACAATTAAGAATTTAAAAATATTACGCTTTTTGTATCATTTTATGTGATATTCTTTTCTTTTTAATCTGTCCTGAGAAAACATCACACTACTTTTTAATTGATAATGAGAATGATGTTCCATTCATTAACAAAAATGAGCATGGGGTTGGGCGGGGTCATTAAATCTTTCGAAAATAACATCACACAAAAATTTAAGATCCTATACCTATAGTATAATATAAAAAGATATTTTTTATTATTATTTATCAAACATAATTTTATTTATAATATATACAACGTAACAGGTCTAATATTTTAAATATTCCACGTTTGTTTAGCTTAAACTTAAAATTATTATTTTAAAATTAATTTTACTATTATGTTTTTTTTTTTAAAAAAAAAAAGTGAAATCTTTTGTTAGACTTTGTAATTGCAGAATGCTGTGGTCTTTCTGGACAAGCAACCATAAGTGATAAGTCAAGCCCACCAACGATATCGCCATCAGTATATCCATCACTTTACGGCTCGTTTGGTTTGAATTCTAGTTATGATGAGATAATTATGATGAGATTATTTATGATACGATAAGTTATGTTGTAATTATTTTTTATTGAGTGTTTGTTTGATATATTCAAAATAATAAATTTTAAAAATAATTTATTTTTTTATTAAAAAAAAACCTTCATAAATGTGAAGAGTGATCTATAAAAAGGATATAAAGAGATATTTTTGTCATTTACTTATTTTATCTCGAGATTACTATACCACTCAAGAGGAGAGATAACTTATCATCAGCACTAATTATAACTCTAGAATCAGTTATTCCGAACTTATCAACCAAATAACAAATTAAGTGACACTATAATTTAGTTCCAAAACTATTTAATGTTATCATTCACAATTCACATCAAACGACCCTTGATTGTTTGATTAACTTTTACTCCACTGGATAATTCTTATTATTTTTTCCAATTTCTCACTAATAGACAATATTATAGAACATAAGATATGTTTTTTTTTAAAAAAAAATATATAGAACAAAAGTTATAATGTGATTCAAAATAGATGGTGAAGGTCGGAGGGTGACATCCCCAGACCATGTGACATCTTTTTTATTACTATTTTGGTTCGATATTTAATGTGTTTGATTAATTTAAATTTGCACCACATAGGGATAAGGTTTGATTGGAATGGATGGACGAGAGAGTTCTCTCTATCAATGATTTTTGGTGAGTTCTCTCTATTAAATATTTTTTCATATCTAAGATTTAAATTTAAAATTTTGAGTAAGAGAAACAGTCTCATCCACTAAACCGCGGGTGCCACATGACATCATTAATTCATTTGAATAGTCGAGAATTAAAAGGAATAAATATTTAGGGAAACAATATTGTCAAACTTAGGAATTATATTTCCACTATAAATATTAAAGTATCGTAGGACAAAATGTCCCTATATGATCAAATTATTCTTTTTCAAGAAAATGGGGTGCGAACTATGTCATTAAAATTTAAAACTTAGATGGATAAGCTAAGCTACTAAAGTTTGATTTTCATATTTGAGGTTGCTTTCAGCTTTCAGGTTGATAATTTTTTCTGCTACCTCTAATTCTTTTCTTAAAAAATTAGATTTGTTAAAAGTATAAAAGCTCTAACTTAAGCTTCTATTTAGTTTTGTTACCGATGAGTACTATATTTTCTTTTCCAAAAAATGGAGAATTTTTAAAAATAAAATTTAGCTTAGGTAATGGAATTCTTGGAATTAGTCAAAATTCACTTGGATGGTTTTTTTAAATAAAAAATAAAAATTGGGGTAGAGAAAGGGTAGATAGAGAAGGGATTACAAGATAGAAATCCAACTCTTACTAATAAGATAAAAAAATTAGATAATTAATTAACTATAAGTAATTAAGAATTAAAATTCTCCTAAAACGTTCAAGATAAAGTAAAGAAAATAATAAAAGCAATTAACTTCTCTTCATTGACCGTGGACAAGAAAATTACACCGTCAGTTCATTTTTTAGAAATACTTATTTCTCTTAACATATTCACATATTATTATTATTTAAATAAAAATAACAAAAAGAGTATTATATGGTAACTTTTTTACTCTTTTTTCTTTCTTTTTAAAATCTAAACTAATTAATCTCACAAAAAAATTATCCATAACTTATTAAGTCTTCTTCACAGCATGAAAAGTTTTTGGATAGATATTTTCATTGCTTCAAAGTGTGTTTTCTCTTCTTAGTTCATTCAATCAACAATACAAAAATTAATTAAAAATAAACTTTGATTCATTTATCATCATATGTACTCCAATTTATTTAAATGTGAAAATATAATAATTAAATTAAGAAATATAAGTATTTCTAAAAATAATTGACATGTAATTTTCTTATCCACTTTTAGTGGATAGTAATTAATCTCCAAATACAAAATGATAAATAGAAGATAAATAAATAAATCCTTGACAAAGTGACATGGAATTTTCGGAAGGTTCCTTTCAATTTTGGAAGGCGTCAATATAGAGAGAGGTGGCTAGATTAAGATTTATTTATGGAATCGAGCGTTTGTTTGGTCATGAAAATAAAAAGGAGTAATTGCTTTAATTGGAATTATTGGACTTGATTGTGTTTCGTACTATTGTCTCTGTCCCTAATTACTTGTATATTTTTTCTTTTTAGTTGTCCCTAATTATTTGTTCATTTTGACAAATCAAGAAAAATATTTTTTTACCTATTATACCCTCAATTAATTCACTTCATAATTAATAGGGATGAAATAGTAAACTCACTATGTCAATAGTTTTCTTAATAGATATGTCAATTTAAAAATGAACAAGTAATTAGGGACAGGAGCATAATGTAATACCTTGTTAAATTTATATTTATAAAAAATTGAATGTTAAAAATATTCTAAAAAGTGCCAACTCATTTTTTATTAGTATTTAAATTTTATGATTTTTGTAATCTTAAATTATCTAAGAATTTTCGTTCTCTTGAAGATTTTTTTTATGCCGATGAAAGTATTCTCTTTGTTTTTGTAAAGAAAGAAAATTTTGAATTTGATAGTTTGAAGGGTCTATGTGCATATATATATATATAGAGAGAGAGATAGATAGATAGATAGATAGTACAGCTTTAAAACAGACATTTCTTCGACCCTCTCCAATAATACAGACCAAAACAGGCTCTTCGCTCATTTGTGGGCGAACTGTGACAAACAAATTTAACCCGTCAGTCATCCCCAAAACAAAACAAAAAAAAATATCACATGAATTTTAAAGGTAGTTCGCCCATTTATGGACAAACTACAATTCTTTTTATTAACTTCTCATGTGAAGCTATATCATGTCTCAATTTTAAGTGTATTGTAAAATCCTTTTGATATATAAAATTATGTATTTCTTCAATAATAAAAATATTAAAAAAATGAGAATTTTTTTCATAAAATAAATTTTGCTATTTATTTGCTTTACAATCAATCTTTTTGTTTGTCCGTTTTGACCTCTCTTTTAGATGACATGTGTATCAAGCCTCATTTTTATGTCAGTCCTATGTGTTACATCGCTCAACTTACACTCTAAGGGGTCGTTTGGTAGAGTGTATTAGAAAATATAATATATGCATTAGGTGTGTGTATTAGTAGTACCTTGTTTGGTACACTTTTTCATGCCATGTATAACTAATGCACACTCTATTGTATATTAACTTGTGTATTACTAATACCAAGAAATTCTAGGTATTAGTAATACATAGCATTTTAACACTTGCATTAAATTAAATAATTACAAAAACTACCCTTAAAGTCTTTTCTATTTTCTTTGTTGTCATAAGTTTTTGTTTTATTTGATTTGCTTTTCGGTGTTCTTTTAAATTTTTTGGTGTCTTAATAGGCTTTATGACCTCTTAAGTATCTTTTTTTTTAAAAAATATAATAATTTCAATATAATTTAATCAAATTTTTTACTATTGTGACGATAAATTTGTTAAAAAAAAATATTTGCCAACTTTCCACAAAAATATTTTGACGCAATAGTATAACTATTTAATATTATTTTTAGAAAAAGAAGAAGAAGAAGAAGAAGAAGAGTTAATGATGTTTTAGCAAAGAATTTTTTTTGATGTTTTAGCAAAGAACTTTGTTGCAAAGGAAGTGTACAAATAAATAAAGTGTGAAGGGCATATTTGTAAACATATATTTTTAATAGAAATTATGCAAGTTTTGTTATTTCTAATACATCAAACCAAACAATGTATAAGAAATAATGCTTGCATAACTAATGCAAGCACTACTAATGCAAGCATTACTAATGCACCATATTTTGCATTATTCTTATACACTCTACCAAATGACCCCTAAATATTCGGTCATGATCTTGCTCAACCTTATAACCAGTGGCGGATCCAGGATTTAGAGTCCGGGGGTGCCAAATAAACTTATCGATTAAATTAGTTTTATATTTGATTAAATTATTCGTCTTTTCGATATATATCATAAATCAATCAATAAAATATAAATAATAAGATATTACAAATCCACACTCCACACTAAAAGCATGAAGTTAACAAATTTAAAACTTTCAATAATATTACTATTTACTAATATTATAAATATTCAACATTCATTTACAATTGTCCTCGACGAGTTTTCATATTCTGAAAACGATCGATAATGACATCATTACTAACATTTATAAATACATCACGCTCTATGTAACACACTAGACAATCATTTAAATATTGATTACCAATACTATTCCGCACTTCATTTTTTATGTGCTTCATTGACGAAAATGCTCTCTCCACAGTTGCCGTAGCAACAGGTAAAATCAAAGTCAACTTTACAAGTAAATAAACAAGTGAATAAGTCTCCGCGAGATTTGCTTCAACCAATGCCTTCGCCAAATCATGAATTCCTTGCAAGTTGGAGAACTTGGATTACCACTTCGCATATGACTAATGAAAGTATCGAGTTGATAGCTCAAATCTCTAATTTTTCCATCATCAAACTCACTTGGATAACACTTTGCTAAAGTCATGATTTTACCTTTGTCAAAATTAGAGAAAGAATTGACCGGATTCAAGCTACCCATCCCAAGAAGCAAATCACTACTCACTACATCAAAACGGTCATTAAGTTCTTGAAGTTGCACATCAATGACAGCAAAAAAGACTTCAACACGCAAGTGGTGCGCATAACTAACACCCGAAGACTTACGTTTTGACTTTCCGGGAAAATAAGACTCATCCAACTTGGGAATCAAGATATCATGCACATCACAAAATGAGGAAACATCATCCAACAAAGATTCCCATCCATTTTCCCTCATATCTTGCAATCTTTTCTTTGTAATATTAAGAAACTCCACGGCATTAACAATATCTTGATCTTTTTTTTGTAAAATCTTACTCAACTCATTTGACATTGCCAACACTTTCAACATCAAGTGAAGCACAAAAATAAATTTAAATGTTTTAATCTTTGTTAAAATATACTCCGCTTGATTTCTATCACCTAATGTGGACCCTTCAAGTTCAATCACTTCAAGAACATGAACAATAGATGAGAAAATAACAATAAAGTTATCTAAAGTTTTGAAATGTGATCCCCAACGAGTATCACCTGGTCTTTGAAGCCCACGTTCTTGATGTAATCCTTGGCCTTTTTGAACTTCACCGGATTCAAATAATTGCTCTAACTTTTTGGCTTGGTGATCACGAAGTAAGTCTCTACGCTTGAAAGATCCTCATCAATGGTTCTCGAGTGCCAGTCCCGCCCAGGGTATAGGCTCGAGGCGTGACATTTTTGAATTTCACCGGATTCAAATAATTGCTCTAACTTTTTGGCTTGGTGATCACGAAGTAAGTCTCTACGCTTGAAAGATCCTCCAACAACATTCAACACATTACTAACATGATCAAAAAAGTCTTCAACATCCAAATGTTTTTTAGCAATAGCCACTAGTGTTAGTTGCAATTGATGAGCAAAACAATGAATGTAATATGCCGATGGACTATCTTTCATAATCAAAGTTTTGAGCCCATTTATCTCTCCTTTCATATTACTAGCCCCATCATAACCTTGTCCACGTATTTTGGATGGACTTAGTGAGTGAACGGAAAGCAAAGAATAAATCGCTTTCTTCAATGAACATGCCGATGTATCACTAACATGGACAAGACCGATAAATCGTTCAACTACTTCACCATTCTTATTAACAAAACGCAAAACAAGAGCCATTTGTTCTTTGTGAGAGATGTCTTTTGACTCATCAACTAATATACCAAAGTAATCTCCATTCAAGTCCCCAATTATTGCTTTCAATGTTTCTTTTGCACAAGCATTGGCAATATCTTTTTGAATCATAGGACAAGTCAACGTATCATTTTGTGGGGCATTTTCCAATATCACTTTTCCAACATTCGGATGTTTGTCCCCGTGCCATCGCAAAAATCCTAGAAAGAAGCCTTGATTAATTGAAGATTCACTTTATCGTGACCTCGAAAAGGTAATCCATATTGCAAAAGAAGTCTTGACACATCAATTGAGGCTTCCAAACGCATTCGATACTCATTTTTTAACTTTTGAGAATGCTTATCAATAACAACTTGAATTGATTGATGATGATTTGACAAATCTAGCATCTTGTTGAAACATTTGTCATGAATACTATTAACATCACCAACATGTTTACGGAATCTTTCAAGTGCCCTATTCCAACTCCTAAAACCCGTTTTTGTGTAAAACTCACTTGCGCTTCCATGGAAAAAATCATCTTTGAATAAATAACAACATAGACAATAGACAGAATCTTTCTCCACGCTATACTCCAACCATTTAGAATATGGACCTTCAAACCAAATTTTACAAAATTGACGCATTCTTTTTCCAATTTCAGTTGGAGGATATGAATCCATTTTTGGTTGACAAGGCCCTTTTTGAATATAATGTTTCCTCACTTCATCCTTTATTTGAGGGTTATAGTGAGCAATTGGTACTCTTTTTCCTGGATCGGCTTCAAGTGAATCTAAATTAAGGTCATCTATAAGACTAGAAGGATTGACATTCGTACTAGAACTTGCTTGAGAATGGTTAAATTTCACAAGAAACTTCTCCATCTCAATTCACAAAACTAGAACACTTTCCTACAAAAATTAAAATTCAATTCAACTCACAATTAATTCAAATTTAATAGGGTAAGGCATAGTTAATTCAAATTAACATGATTCATATCACACAATTTTTAACCAATAATGTCTTACAATGTTCATTAGAAATTTAGAATATCAAAGTAAAATCAAAACTCTTGTCTAATATGAAATCAATCATCACTGATTAAAACTTAAAAGAACTCAAGAAATAGAAATAAAAAAAATCTTACAAAAATAGAATTGCAAACTTACAATCTATAAAAAGTTGTGGATGGATGGAGAAAAGTGAAAACAAAAGCACCCAAATGAGGCTTAGCCGCTGAACGGAATGCTAAGACGGGCGGGGGGCGGCAACGACAAGAAGTGATTTGGGTTCGGAATGGGGTAATAAAATTTTTGGAGAAGTTGAAACTTGGAGGAAGAAGGGTTTGGAAATAGTTGAAGAGAAAGAGAACACTTCTAAGTCAAAGGAGTAATGTAATTAATTTAATTTAAGTCAATAAAAATTATAAAATAATGTGCCAGCTGTTTTCCTTAAAAAAAAAAGGGGCTTGGAGCCTTTTTTTCACTTAAAAAACGTCTTCAACAATTTTTCAAAAAAATAGGTTCAAATGGGATTCGAACCCACAACCTCAACCTTCTAAAGTTGCTCTCTTACCATGGCACCACAAGCCACTTTTGGTCTGTGGGTGGCACATTTTATATTTATATAAATATTATGTATATATACCTATGTATATATAGAGTTTCCGTCGAAGTTCGGGGGTGGCGTGGCACCCCCATTGCCCTTCATAGGTCCGCCCCTGCTTATAACAATTAGATTCCACCGTCTGTCTTCAAACCTCCAACTTAGTGTTAACTTTGTTGCAAGTCTCATCAATCAAAACTGTGTCATCCCCAAATAACTTACACCATGGCACCTTACCTTGTGCTTGATTATAATCTTTGCAAAAAATATTTAATTGTTTGAATACATTTTTCCTAAAAAATATATATATAATATAGTTTAAATAGGATTTTTTTTTTATAAAAATAAAAATGTGGCTAAAATTTGTAAAAAGATTGATAATGAAAGTGAAAAAAAAAGTGTTGAGTGTTTTCCATTATTCAATATAACTTTATGTTGAATTTAAAATTTTCATAACCAAACGATAATCTTTAAATAAAATGTAAAAATAATAATTTAAAAAATATATTTTTTAATGATCAAATGGGTCCATTATCTAAGACTTGTAAACAAAATAGGATATTTCCAATAATGTATTTTGTGATTTATAAGGAGACATAAAAGTAGTGATGACTACTTCACTTTCTTCCAATTTGTCCACTTCCATGAAGAGATTCCCAAGGAACTCGACAAAACCAAAATTACAATCTATTCAAAATATCTCATAAATATTCTTTATTCATGTTAAAATTAATTTTATAAATAAATAATTATGTATTTGAATAAATATATTAAAATTGGTAATAAAAATCTTTCAATGTGTTTTGTTCAAAAATGTAGATGAATAATTTTCTGTCAAATGATCAATATGTCCCTAAAGTTATTTACAAAAATAATTAATTTAAAAGTATTAGGATTTTTTCATAAAAATATAGGACCGAACACAAAATATTACATTTATGTATCATATTTCCAGTTTACACCTGCATATTAAAAAAAATAAAAATCACCGTGAGTGTTTATATATTTGGTATACAATATGATATAATATTATATATGGTGTAGCAACTTTGTATAAAAATATATAATAGTGTAAAAGAAGTATTTAATTATACATATTTTTACATTATTAACTTAAGCCCACAAATATGGTAAAAAATATCACCAATTAGCACAAAGCTTCTTCAATAGTTTACAAATGTTGGCTACAAATTCCAAATGAAACCCCAATAATTAATTTATCCAAAAAAATAATAATCAATAATCACAAAATTCACTTGTGACTTTTCAAGCTTTGGAAAACCCCCCAATAAATAATAATAGAGCTTTTAGATTTTTCACTTCACCTTATAATGTTTAAGTTTGTGATGATAAATATGATGAGCATCACTCTCAATTAGTTTTCAAGCATTAAAAAAGAAGAAGAGGAAATCATAATCACATATTAAGAATTATTGTCTTTTTTCCAAGTGTTTCTAATTATATATAAAATTACTAAAATTATCCGCGCTTCGCGCGGAAATTTAATACCACAGAATATATATAATAATACTTAAAACCTATCGGTCACTAAAACTAAAACATTATATTATCCTACATAAAAGATTAATAGTGTAAAGGAAAATGAAAATTATTACAACTAATCATTTATCCTTTTAATAATATAAGCATAAATTAATTACTGTAAAAATACATACTAGGATCTGTAACATAAGCAATGGTGTCACTGAGGCACTCAACATGAGTAAATTACACAAATACTTAATTGTGAAGAAGAAGCAGAAGAAGAAAAAGAGGAAGAGGTTCAGAATTTTCGTTGTTTTAAAATAGAGAGGAAAATCCCTCTATTTATAAACAACAAATGGTAGTGTGAACAAATATGTATTGTGTCTTATCGGAAAGGTTACAACTATTTGGAAAAAGTTTGCAACCCTTCGAAAAGGTCACAACTTTTCATAAAAGTCGCAACTCTTCATTAGAGTCGCAACTTTTCATAAAAGTCACAACTCTTCATTAAAGTCGCAACTCTTCATTAAAGTCGCAACTCTTCATTAAAGGGAAGGCTAGCTAATTTTGGAAATAAATAAATTAAAAGTGAATTATGATTTGTGGTGGTGCCACGGAGGCGGGTCTAAGGTTCTCTTTTATATATATATATGATATATATGATATATATGATAGATTAAACAGAAAAGGGTCAAAATTGCCCCTGAACTATGCGAAATGAACCACTTATACCCTTCGTTACATTTTGGGATAAAAAATGCCCCAGCCGTTATCCCAAGAGACCACAAATACCCTCAGGAGTTAACACCTCAAATTTTTAGTGACATGGCAAGCCACGTGGGACTAATCCTTCCACCTAAGCGTTGCCAACTAGGATTCACTACAAAAGAACTAGACCTTTAGCCACAAAATCCTGAAATATTTATGAGTGATTTTTAGTGGCGACTAAGGTTGCAACAACCATTCGCTAGTAAAACCTATTTTTTCAATAAAATAATATGATAATTAATTTTCGGTTGCAACCTAATATTCTAAAATAAATAATTTGGACTATTAACATTAAAAACATCCAATATTATTACGAAAATCGTCAAAATTACTTCTCGATTCAAATCTCCTACTAAATAATGCATCATTGTACATTTTATACATTTACATATGATATAAAAATAAAACATATAGTGTCTTCAAACTCCTCCTTAATCGATATCATTTTTGGTTTTTTAAAAACAATGAAGAAAAAACACACAAATCAGAATTTATTGTTTAAAAACCTTTAGTGACGACTTTCTGGGATTTTGTGGCGACTGTTGTCGCTGCTAAAGGTCTAGTTCTTTTGTAGTGAATCCTAGTTGGCAACGCTTAGGTGGAAGGATTAGTCCCACGTGGTTTGCCATGTCACTAAAAATTTGAGGTGTTAACTCCTGAGGGTATTTGTGGTCTCTTGGGATAACGGCTGGGGCATTTTTTATCCCAAAATGTAACGAAGGGTATAAGTGGTCTATTTCGCATAGTTCAGGGGCAATTTTGACCCTTTCCCGTAGATTAATTAGGATAAGATCCAAGAATATGATCAACTAATTTTAGTTACAAGCTTGCATCAAATGATATCAAACGTTAGAGCCTTAGAGGTGATCAACTTATGACTTTTAATTGATAATGACTTATAAATACTATAAAGTTTACCAAATGTCGTAAATAAGTTTAAATTTGCTTATAATACAGTTTGATTAGTTTATAAGTTTACTCAAAAACACCCTCAACCCTCCCATCACCCGATAACATGTACTCAAGAGTGACAATTAAAAAAAGAAGTAATTTTTACTCTTAATCAAGTTACGACCCACGTTTGGCCACAAATAATGTGGTTTAATAAATAAATAAACTAAAGTACTAAAACAAGTTCCTTTGAACCCCTAAGTCATAAAGCTATGCTTCGAATAAAATCAGAATTTAACTTTATATATAAAATATATATTTTCAACGAAGAGGATTTAGGTGAATCTTCTGATCCTCATGTAACTTTTCCCCTCACACATATCAAAGTAATTGATTGATAAAATTTCATGTTAAATTATGTATGCATATATACAATCTATTATTGTAAAATAAACCCTAATATTTATAGTTACACATATATTATAATATGTTTATAAATATAAATTTTATAATTTTATAGTTCTTTTAAATATTTTTATCTGATTAAATTATATCACTTAAATTAAAATGGAGGGAGTAGCTCTTTTGCTTGATTAGTAAAGCAACCACACTTGATTTCTTGTGTTTGAGTTGAATTTTGCATGTATTACGTAACTTCTGAAAAGGATAGGCTGAGATTGGCTAAACGTATGGGGTTTTACTTTGTAATTACATGTCATGCTCTCTTTAGTCACATTCTATAAATTTTTGTCAGTTTAGTTATTTAAAATTAATGAAATTTATGTTTTCTTTTTGGTACATTGATTTATTCTATTGAAATTAGGAAAGACGTAATTAAAGGTGGGCATAAATATTGGAAAATCTAATTGAATTGAACTAATTCAATTTTTCGATTTTGATTTTTCAGTTGGATGTTAGGTGTTTTCTTTTCAAAAGTTTGGTTCTTCAATTCGGTGTCTCGAAACATCGGTATATTGAAGAACTAAACTTTTATGATTTAAAAAAAAAAAAATAAAAAAAAAAAATAAAAAAATATATATAATACTAATGATAGAAAGAGAAAAATATTATAAAATTCTCTTAATTTCATAAGTTGAACAAGTAAATTGAAGTAACTAATTTTAGTATGGATCGA